AATTTTTTTTAGTTTTATGTGTATGACTGTATTGCCTGCATGTATGTAAGTGCACCCGTGCCATGCAATGCCTTCAGAGGTCAGAAGAGGGTATCAGATCCCCTGCAACTGGAGTTACTGATGGTTGTTAGCCACCATGTGGGTGCTCAGAACTGAACCGTGGTCCTCTACAAAAGCAGCCAATGCTCTTAACTATTTAGCCTCCATTTGAAGAGTGTCTAATGTTTACAAAGGATTTCTCAATTTCCCTCTCTTAACATTATTACATGAAAATCCAAGTAAGTCATATTCTAACTGCTCTATAATTACTACAAGTTATAGAAAATGCCATTTTTTCCTATGAAATATTGTATCCCTAAAATAAACTCAGCCTTAACAAAATCCTGAATTTTTAAATACATTATATATGAACAGACTGTATTAAGATTACCTTTATAATTATCAATTACCTACAAGTTTGGAACAAAAATAATTCTAAATATCCATAATTTGTTCACCCACTTTATAAAAACACGAAAATGAACACACCTCTTTTACTTCAAAATTTAGCAGTACGTTAATAATGTCTACAGGTCTGGTCTCTCCCACTCCAGCTGGTATTGTACCTTGTGCAGCATGAACATCATGTGGTGTAGAGACTTCATGGCACTCTTTAGTTTCACCTAAAGATGTTTAAAAGAAATTCATCTATTTCTATTCATAAGTACTTACTAAGGACATGTATGTGTACTCTGGACCTGGTAAGGCACTAAAAATCCACAAATCAGTAGCATCTCTGGCCCTTAGAAAGCACATGGTTTAGTAAAGAGACACACATGTTGAAAATGAAAGGGAGTAAGAAGGCCAACACTACTTACATTAAGTAGGCGAAGGTTAATAATCTGTACATAAAATGCACAGACAGCAGACAGGGAAGCCCAGTCCTGTCACCAGGAAGTAAAACCAGGATTAGTGAAGGAGCCAGCACCCACATAAGGTGGAAAGGCCTCTTCACAAAGGAGATATTCCACCTTTTCAAAAGGTAAGAAACGATGGACATCATCTTGGAAGGAGACAGGGAACCCCCAGAGGGTTTGAGTGAGAGACCCCACCTCAAATAATAATAAGGAAAACTATCAAGGAAGATTCCTAACATCAACCTCTGGCCTCCAAAGGCACATATGTATACATATACAAACACACAAACATGCTCCCATACATATGAACATACACATACATATGCATACCACATACATATGAAAAGAAAAAGAAAAACAAAACCACAGTGAGGTAGCAGTGATCCATCAGAATAGCTAAATTTGAAAGACCAATAATTCCAAGTACTGTTAGGATATGAAATAACTAGAACTCTCATATACAGCTAGTAGGAAAGTAAATTAGAAAACTACTTAAAAGCATTTGATTAAGCTATCGAAACAGAATGCAACTTAGCACATGGCCTAGTTATTTCACATATTATCTGTATATCCAAAAGAAAAAGAATAATAATACTCCATGTCTGGGGGAGATATTCTAAGACCTCCAGGGGATGTTTGGAGCCACAGACAGCTCTAAGCCCTATATATACCAGATTTTTTTCCTATACATGCATACCTATTATAAAGTTTAATTTGCAAATTAGACAAAGTAAGAAATTAACAATAATGATATAAGGTAATTACAATAGTATACTATAATAAAATTGCCAGCAATTAGTTCCCCTACTCTCAAACTTTGAGTTGTTATTCAGTAAAACAAAGATCACTTGAGCACAAGCACTGAATCTACAAGGATGAGTCTGGAAGCCAAGATGACTGCCAAATAACTAGTGGCAAAGGGTGCAAAAAACAAGGGCATACTGTGCACAGTGATGAGTCTTGTCCCAGGCAGGATGGGATGCAATCTCTAACTATGTGTCCTTTATTCTTATGACTTTCCATTTAATACTTACAAAACACCACTGGCCACAAGTAACTGAAACGGCTGTTAGAAAGCTATAGTAAAACACGACAGCTACAAAATAAGCACAAATTCTTTTAAATCTATCAAAACTTTGAATTGCTAAAAACACATTATATACATGTACAAAATTCTCAAGTGAATTAAATTTTTAATGAATGTATTAACTTTTATTAATGAACTGTTAGCTAAATTAAAATGAACAAAGATGACACCATGCCCTTTCACTGGTATGACATGAAAGACATATGAAAGTAGAATTAATAAGGACATTCAATGCAACACGGTTAATGGTGAAAGTTGAAACAACTCAAAATGTCTATCAACACAGACTCACTAAATAAACTATGATATTTCAATATAATTTAGTATCAGGTAGCAATTAAAAACAATAAAGGAAATCTACACATAGCACACACAGATATGAAACAGACACAACACTGTTAATTTAGAAAAACATCCACAAAGGGCAGTGAACACACACAGATATAATCACTTATTTGAAAAAATATGTGCATAATATATTCATTATATATAATGTGTATGTGTACATATGTATGTTATAAATGCATATTAAAACAGGTTAAAATATTTGTTAAGTAATAACTTTTTATTTTGGTTAAAAGACTGTTACTAATAATATAAATTTCCTGGCATTTTATATTGCAATACAACGCATTTACTATCTTTGGAGAGTGACAATTTACCAACAACTTCAAATTGTGAAGATATTTTACCACTAAATCTTATTTAAATATCAGGTAGAACACGCTACCACAGCTTAGTGCCAATTTAAATTTTTTCCCATATGCAAATTCAGTACTTACTGCAGAAATTCACCAATGGTTAATGGCCACCCTCCATAATGGCCTTCTCCCAACCCATGCAGCTTGGAAAACAGGCTGAAATGTTTGCTGGGCTAAAAGGAGCTAATGAGCTCCAATCATTACAATATATAATAGCATCCTGTTATCTTCCTTGGAAGTACAAATCACAATTTGTAAATACACATTTGTTGATTTTGTTTTTATCGTCTGTTTTAGGCTGGAGATGTAGCTTAGTAACACAGTGTGTTCTTTAGTCTGCACAAAGTTCCAATCCCCAGAACCAGAAAAAAATTAAATTAAAAACAGAACATTCACTGTTTATTTATTGTCTATTAAATCATAAGAGAGAGACAAATATGCATTATGCCACCTGCTGTCAGCCTCTTACCTGCCCCTTGTATTCTAGGTTTCCCCTTGTCCAAGTCTTCAGTGGTCTCACCAAGATTTTCTGCTAATATTCTAAATAAAAGATTAAGATCTTCTTGATTTAGACTAACCTATGAAAGAGATAAAGATATTTTTCGTTTTAAAATTAAATAACCATTCATAGAAAATAAATTTTCAGTAACGAGAGTAATCCTGATAGTGACTGAAATTACATAATCACCATTCAAGAATTTTACTACTTGTTTCATTTTAACAGTCTTAATTTTAAAGAAGATGTGAAAATATATAAATGATTTATAAATCAATGCTAACTCCATTGACTAACATTACTGAAAGTTAATTGTACTTAAAAAATCCAATCTTTTGTTAAATAACAAATTCTGAAAATTTCACACATTTCACTGCTTAAACAATATTATAATTATCTTGGAGATCTAAACAATATTATAATTATCTTGGAGATACTTAAATCTCTTTAAAATAAGTGTGTATATATTATGAGAAGGAATATAACATGAATAAGAGTAACTTCCACAGAGATCTACGCAATGTGTACACAGCAGTTTCAAAAGCTAGATACTACTTAACTAAAGAATGTATTTTACTAAAGAAAGTCATGGCCTTGCTGGACAATGTGAAGTTTTCTTTCATCATTTACTAAAATAATCTGCATTCCATTTGTATTTATACTGAGAAAGCAGTCAAGAGTTTAAAATTTCAATAATCAAGTTTTTCCACTAATTTACTTACATTCATTGAATCAAGACATCCTCTAATTTCAACAATAGGCACTTTATGGTACCAATTTGCAGCTAGATTCCGGTTTACACAAAATTCCAAGTTAATTGGGTGCAACAGCTGAATATCAGGATGGGAAGTGCCTGGCTGGATCACTGTCCTAGAGCAAAGCAGAGAGAGTATGAGGATGAACCACAACATTAAGAACAAGAAGCAGCTATCTGCTACTCTAAATGCTCACTGCCACCTGAGTGTTTTCAAAGCTGAATTCATAATCCACCTCTACTCCCCTATCAGAGACAGATTGAAACACTATATGATAAACAATAAGCCATTAGGAACATTTTTTCTTTAAACTATAGAGAACTGAAGTAAAGTTTTTCAAAAATTCACAATGCTGCATACAGATACACAGGAAATCATCAAATATAGTTATTCTAGGAATAATTCAGTCGTGCCACATTACAGTGTCTACACATTATAAGCCAGTGCTGGACACTATCTGCCTCAGCACTCTCTTAAGATTATGGAGCTGAAAAGGTCCTACAGCTTAAGAACGATGTAGCTGTCACAAAGTCACATTGCAATATTCTGCTCATGTGTTTGATATAAGTACACTCACAAGAAAGTGTAACAGTGCATACAGTTATGTGCAGTATATAATGTTTCATAATGGTGCCAGGTAACTACAGTAGTGGTTTACTGATTTACTATACTTCCTATAATTCTAGAATGCACACCTTCTACTTTTAAGAAAAGTTTTGGGGGCTGGAGTGATAGCTTAGCAGTTAAGAGCACTAGCTGTTCTTGCAGAAGACCGGAGTTCGAATCCTAGCACCCACATAGCAGCCACCAACCATCCATAACTCTAGTTCCAGGGGATCCAGCGCCCTTTTCTGTCCTCCTTGGGCAGTGCACGACACGGTGCACTTACATACATGCAGACATAACACTCATACATGTAAAATAAAAAT